GTGTCTTAATGTTTCCCATTGAAACAGGAAAGGCTTTATTCTGTATCATTGGGATAAATACCAAATCCCAACTCCCAATAGAAAAACTCACGTCAAACTAGGGGCTTGGAAATTATAAATAGCCAATGTTCACTGCATCATCCATTTCCAAAACTGTCAACTCATGTGAACTGACAACTGGCTGAAGCTCAACAACTAACATTAGTCCTGTATACTTAAGAACTCCCTTGGCAAACATATATTGAAATGATAAAATTAATTCTAGATCAACATTCTTTATTCCTTGTGAAGACTGCATTGAAAACTGAGCAAGCAGTGGGAATATGTATTATCCTTTAAACACAAATTCTGCACTTTGCTTAATAGATGCCAGGATCTGGCCATCTCCAACAAGACTCTACGTCATCTTTTACTCCTGATCAGTTCTCAGGTTGAGGTTTTCATTGAAGGTAATGTTCTGCAGCCCCGATGAAGATTTTCTCTTCACTACTAAAATCAAACTCTTGTTAGTAAGTGTCCTGTATTGATTTGACATTCCCTATAGTCTTCAGTAAATCATTCTCCATCTCTTTGACTGCTTCTGCACAGCTAATGTAGAGCAATGCAAAATGGAAATTAAAAGAAACCAGGCAGGTATAGACCATTATTACAATGAGCTGGATGAATAGAACTCTGGATGGAGGGCTTGGACAAGGATACAGAAAGATGCACAATTTACAAGTCAGAAGAAATAGGCCATCTACTATTTATATTTTAATATGATGAAGGATTCAAAAACATATCTTTGAAAGTGACAATAAAATGATATAGTTGAATGGTTTGAGGGGCTAAATTGTCTACTCTTTGTATGCACCTTTTTTCCAACATGATTTATTTTGAAAAGTGCAAGAAATCAAACATTTCTGTAATTCCCAAATATCTCCAAAATATGATTCCAGGCAATGTCATCAAACTTTGCTCTTCCTTTGTTGGTTTTGCTGAAATAAAGAAAAATCTTTTGAAGTAAACCCAGAAACCTAATTGATGTGAAGATTTTCAAGCATCTGCTCAGAAGTTAGATCTAAAATAAAAGCAAAAAAAAGCTGGAATGTAGAACTAACTAGCATTGACCAAGCCACTCGCCTTCCTGATTTGGACATATATGGCTGAGTCAGAATTCTGGAACTTCCACTGTAATAGCATTGTCAGCCTACCGAAACCAAATGGAGTGCAGCGGTTCAAGAAAGCAGCTCATTACTACTTTTTCACGGGCAATGAGTGCTGGCCCAGCAAGCAATGTCCACATCATGTGAATGAATAACAAGAGTTGTGGCTCTTTATCCCTAAAATTGTGAATTTTTGACTAATATGGGTTTAAATAGCAAACTGCAAATTCATTGGTGAAAAATTGATCAGATATATCATTATTTTGAATTATATTTTGTCAAAGCAAGACTTTGCATCACTGACAAGTTCACTGGATATGGGCAAGACTTGCTAAAGTGTACATCCTGTGACTTCTACAGTCAGTTTCCAAAACTCATTAGCAAAACGGTATGGTACAGAAACCCCTCCCGTGGTCTAAACATATGATTTTTGTCCAGATACCTTGTAATAGATGTTTTCGTAGAAGGATTCCTGTCTGGTGTTCAGGCTCAGCATCTCACTGAAATTTGCTGCATCAAGAAATTGAAACATTTGGTTTACATCAATGTTTCTTCTGTCTCATTTATTACATTATTGTTTAAAAATGCTTATTGATGTCAATGTTTCCTCACAGTTAAGTTTCAAAGCAATGGTTTAATAGAATCATGGGATAGCAAAGAACATTAAAACAGTTCCATCCTCCCCTTAGCAACGTTCTAACCTCGTTACAGCCTTGGTTCAAGCATGGTCAAAAGTTCTGAATTCCAGAGGTGAGGTGAGAGTGACAGCCTTTGACATCAAGGCCACATTTACCAGAGTGTGACATTAAGGAGCTCTAGCAAAACTGGAATCTGTGGAAATCAGGGGCAAACTCTTTGCTGGCTGGGACATAGGAAGATGGTTGTGGTTGTTGGAGGTCAGTCATCTCAGCTCCAGGACATATCTGTGCAGGAATTCTTAAGGGTAGTGTCTTCAGCTACCTCATCAATAATCTGCTATTATAAGTCAGAAATGGGGATGTTTGCTGATGATTGCACAATGTTCAATACCATCCATTACTTCCCAGATACTGAAGCCCTCCATGTTCAAATGCAACGAGGCCTGGACAGTATGCAGGCATGGACTGACGACTGACAAGTGGCAAGTGACATTCGTGAAGCATATGACTGGCAATGACTTCTTACTGGAGATAATCTAACTACCACTGCTTGCTCTATGACTGAATCCCCCACTATCAACGTCCTTGGGGTTGCCATTGACCTGAAACTCAACTGAACTGACTCTACAAGTACAGTGGCTACAAGAGCATGTCAGAGGCTAAGAATACTGCAGTGAGTAACTCAACACCTGACTCCCCAAAGCATGTCCATGATCTACAAGGCATAAATTGGGAATGTGATGGAATACTCCCCTGAATAATACTCAAGAAGCTTGACACCATTCCAAGATAAAGCCAGTCCATTTGATCGGCACCAGACCCATAAGTATCCATCACTGACACTCAGTAGTGACAGTGTGTACTATCAACAAAATGCACTGCAGAAATTCACTAAAGATCCTCAGACTGCACCTTGTAAAGCCAGGACCATTTTCATTCAGAAGGACAAGGGCAGCAGATACACGGGAATGCCATCACCTTCAAGTTCCCCTCCAAGCCAGTCACCATCCTGACTTGGAAGTGTATAGCCATTCCTTCACTGTTACTGGGTCAAAATCCTGGAATTCTCACCCTAAGAGCATTGTGGGTGTACTTCCAGGACATGGATTGCAGTGGTTCAAGGAGGAAGCTCACTACTGTCTGTCTTAAGCAACAAGGGACAGACAATAAATGCTGACCCAGCCAGTGAGGCCCACATCCTGTGAGTGATTTTTTTTTTAAATTGAGACTGAACCAAACAGCTTGTAGTGCTGATGTTATATTTGACTTTAATTTCTGACCACATGTCCAACAGGTCACCAAAACCAACAATTTCTACCTCAGTTGCTTCACCTTTGTATCAATTCATCTGTGTGTAAAATCCTCCTATCCCTTCATTACTCTGAACTTGACCATATGAATGGACTCTTGATTGGCCTCCCATAATAAACTTTCTGGAAACTTTTGTTTGAACTTTGTTTACTCTCCATGTACCAAGCCTCTTCACCCATCACTTCACTCTTTGTTGGCTTACAATCGCTCCAAGTTAAGCAGCACCACAATTTTACGATTCTTAACCTCATTTTAAACCCTAACATTTTCCTGCCCCTTCTCATCTCTGTAAGCTCTCGTCCTATGGCCCACTGAAATATCTACTCTCCTCGAATTCTGGCCCCTTGAGCATCTCTGAATTTAAGTGCTTCACCATTGATAATTGTACCTTCAACTGCCTGAGTCCTCCTTATTCGTCCATCAAGATAATCCTTAAAATCTACCTCTTTGACCAGAATTTTGGTCGTATGCTCTCAGCAACTTTATTTACTGACAAGCCAGTTTTATCTTCACAACTTAATAATAATTGTGGCTTGGTGTCATATTTTGTTTTATAAAGCATAAAGCATTTTATGATGTTTTGTTTTGTCCTAAGCATCATAAAAATAAATCTTTGACTTGGCACGAGTTCTATTGATGGATATTCATGGTAACCAGTCCTGATTCTCCAATTTCTTTTCATCCTTCAAGTTTCCTTTTAAACCTCCTCTTAATCTGTGTCCATCACTCCTATAGGGTGGTGCATTACAAATCCTCACAACTCTTTGCATAAAATAAATGTTCTGTTCAGGTTATTGCTGATTCTTTTGCTTATCTTAAATCTATGCCGTCTCCTAATCAATCTTTCAGCAATTGGAAACAGTTTCTCATTTGCTATCCCAACTCTTGTGATTTTTAAACAGCTCTACCAAATAACCCCTTAGTCACCTCTGCTGTAAGGAGAACAAGATGGACAACACCTGTACTAAACAATGGTACCACTTCATCTGTGCATCAGTTGTGATTAAACCAGTCTTACCAGTCTCAGTGCCGGAGGAAGAAGTGGCTTTCTTGTGGATGATTGTAACAGCAGCGATAATTAAAAGCAAACCACTGACAGCAACCACAATGCACAGAGGAACCATTATCCTTGGGGATCCACTGGATATCCCTGTTTTTAATACAAGGAGACAATAGAACTTTATTGAGCAAGGACGGAGTTATGATCAGAATTAAACAATTTCCTGATTCAGGAACAAAGTGTGACGTTTTAGGTGGAGTGACACCTGCCAATGAAAATTTATCTTCATGACGTGCTACAGAAACACACACTGTTGTGGACTTTACCCAGATCCTTAGTGACAGCTCTCTGCAGTGCCTGTCCCAGGGACACATGTTTCACTTCACACCAGTAAGTACGTTTATTCTCCCACTCTGTTGTCGGCACGGTCAATTGGGTCACTGTTCGGTAAGTACTGGTACTGCCCAAAGCTACTGCAAACTGGGTCACTCCCGTATCCACTGGGCCATTCTCATCTCTCCAAGTCACAGAAATATCGGCAGGGTAAAAGTCTGACACCAAGCAAGTCATAGTAACGTTCTGCCCTGCAGCGGCAGCATCAGACAGAGGAGCGATCAGGTGGATCACAGGCTTTTGAATGAAACCATCTACAGCAAAGACAGGAACAGATCATATGAGAAACAAATATTTACAACTTCAATATAGGCATCAAGTCAAATGTATTTCAGGAAAGTTAAGTGAAGGCACAGAGCAGTGACTATGGTTTACAGCATCAATAATGTAATACTGCAAGCCAGGAACAGGAATGTGGATTATTAACATTGGGCTGCCTTCTAGTATAGCCCCTGATTGCTCATACATCAGGTGAAACACTTGATGATTCATAAACAGATAAATTATAAGGGAACACTAGCCAGACTTCAATGATCTAGCTCCTTAGTGAATAATAAGCTCAGAACTTAAGGCAGAATATAGGAAGGTGGAAACCTATCTGTTCCCTTCTTGGCAGGTAGAATTGGTCGTGTTACTGACTTTCCCTAATCTGTATCGTAAGCAAGGTGAACAATCATAGGCATGGCTTCCAGGAAGAGAGACTATAAAACCTTTCCCTTGACCCTACTTTTGCCTCCCTGAAGATCAACAGCAAAAAATAAGTCTGATTCATGGATATGGTATTGAAATCCTTACCATTTGGTCCCAGCCTGGATTCCACAGTAGTTTGTACTGTGGCCCTTGTTGGTGTGATTTACATTAATGATTTGGACTTAAAGGTAGGAGGTATATTCAAGAAGATCTCAGATGACAGAATCATAAAATGAAATATTGCAGGGTGATCAATAGTGAAGAGAATAGTTGTAAACTTCAGGAGGATATCGGTGGACTGGTCAGGTGGACAGAGAAATTGCAAATAGAATTCAACCTGGAAAAATGAGAGTTTGGGAACTGCTACCAAGGCAAGGAATGGTGGGTCCCTGTAAAGTACTGATTATCATTGATATGCATGTATAGAGACCACTGAAGATGGGAAGACATGTAGATAAGGTGGTTAAGAAAACGTATAGGATACATGTCTTAACTGGCCAAGGCATACAAGAGCAGGAAGGTTATGCTGCAATGAAAACAGAAGTGCTGGAGAAACTCAGCAGTTCTGGCAACATCTATGGAAAGAGAAACAGAGCTAATATTTAAAGTCTAAAGGCTCCTCTTCAGAGCTGAAGTATCTTGTGTTTATTTGAGGTAATGTGGAAGTGTATAAAATGCTGGTTGGGCCTGACTGCAGCACTGTGCAGCTCTGGTCACCACATTATAGGAAAGATGTGATTGTACTAGAGAGGGTGCAAAGGAGATTCACCAGGATGCTGCCTGGACTGGAGAGTCTGAGCTATGAGAAAAGATTGGGTACACTGGGGCAGTGATGCCAGAGAGGAGGCTGATAGAGGTGTGTAAGGTTACGTGGAGTAGAGATAGGCTGGATAGGAAGGCACTTTTTTTGTGAGTAGTGGGGTCAATAAATGGGGTATAGATTTAAGGTGAGAGGTAGAAGACTAAAAGAGTTTTGGGGAATTATTTTCTGACAGAGGGTGACAGGAGTCTTGAAGTCACTGTCCGAAACGTTTCTTAAGTCAGAAGCTTGCATAATAATTCAGCTGCATTTAGATATTCACTTGCACTGCCATAGCCTCCAGGACTATCGGCCAAAAGCTGGGAAATGAGATTAATGTAGTCAGATCTTTGTCAACCAGCATGGGCATGATGGGCCGATTGGCCTCCTCTATGCCGTAATTGTTTATGAATGACCAAGTGCGCTAGTTCAAGACAATTGAGCAACTCGTTATGGAAGACTTACTTTAAAATAAACTTTTGTTCATAAAATGATCCCTCATAAAAGGGTTTAAAGCTGTAAAAATAGTCCATTAGCTATTTATATCCCTATTGTATTAGTGTTTATTTATCTGTTGTTCTTTACTAATTTTAGTAAAGTGTAGAATATGTAGCTTGTAGGGACAAGAAGTAACTGGACAGAGGGGTAAGAGGATTTATGATTAGCTTTTCCTCTAGTCATGTTAGGAGTCTGAGGGGAAGAGGAGGATAAAAAGAGACGAAACAGATAAGGAATAGAGAAAATAGTGCCAGACAGAGCCAGGCTAGGGCAAGATAAAGCGGGCCCTGGTTGGGTGAGTAAAAGGTGTTTATGTGGATCTGGAGACATACGCTTTTTGTATGATTATAGGAACATAAAATCATACAATACAGAAGGGGCCCTTTGAATCACTAAGTCTGTATGTACAAACAAGATTGGAATTTGAGTAATGACCAGTGTACATGATAGGAAGTGTTCACAAAATGGAATTCCTTGTATTTGGCAGAGTTCTGGTCTGTCTAGTTTAGAACACACTGTGTGCACTTGGATAGATAACGGTAAACTCATTTTTAAAATTCCTTTGGTCAATCATTAGAAGTAACATCAACAAGAATTCAAAAGACATGAACTTGGTCTCCTCAGATGATATTCCATGCTTGAGGTTTTTAGAACATGATATAATTTTGAGTGGAAAAGAAGTTTTTAGCAGGAAGGAGAAATAAGAATCTAGAAGAAACTTGGCAGCATTCAAGTTAGACTTTGTGTAGTTTTAGCTCATTTAATGCCCTAGGATATATCAAGTAAACGTTTAAAGACAAGCAAGTTCAACATCCTTACCATTTCTTTTCCTCAAACTGTGCCTCATAGGAGATGACAATGAAACATGTTGAATTTGACAAGTGTACAAAGATCCAGATTCCCACTCATCCACAGTGACTGTTAACTCACTTCTGGAAGTATAACTCCCATTTGCATTTAAAATTGGTGGAAGAGTTTTCGAACTAAAAGCAGTTTTCCGGTTATTAACCAGCCAACTAAACAAAATGTTTTTTGGATAAAATCCAACAGCCAGACACACAACTGTTGCAGTTTTCCTCACATCAATCTCTTCAAAAGTTGGAGGGAACACGTAGATGGATGGCGGAATCAGGCCTAAATGAATAGAAGTGGTTATTGGTCAGAATAGTATTGTTCAGAAGTCAATTCATGGCAACGGAATAATTTGCATTTAGATATCAAAGCTTCAGAACATCCCAAAGCATGTTACAACCACTGAAGGCAGTTACTGTTCCTTTGTTGGCAAAATGTGGGATCTAATTTGCACTTAGTGAAATCCCGCAAATGACAGTGAAATGAATGTCGAAAGAAAATAAATCTTGTTTCAATCATTATTCGTATATCAAAATAATATTTTCTCTATGTTCTTGTGGTATAATAATGGTTCTGGGCAAGGGAAAGTCTAGGTCCATCTGACACACCAATTTACAGAGTTCAAATCATTAATTTCGAATAACACTGGGTCCCATAAATTGAAAAGAATCTTCCCAGATTTCTGCTTGTTTCCCAGCAGGAAAATCAGTACCTTTCAGGTTGAATTGGCTGAACCAGTGAAGAACTGGAGGAACTGAAATATAAGAGAGTTATATCCCATACCTGCTCCCATGTTGAAATTGTGAAATTTTACTGATGGTGCTGATTTAAGTAGGATCTTCAAATTTGCCAATTGGCTCACGTACATAAGTGCAAGTAGGCTTGTTTTAAATGTATGTTTAAAAAAAAATTCCAAAAAAAAAAAGGCTGTGCATTGATTAAACAATTAAGTTGGATCAGTATAACTTTAATGGTATTTTCATTTGGAAGAACACAGTCTACTAAAATTTCTTAATTTTGCTCACAGACCCACTTTCAGCTCTATGAACAAAATTTCACAAACTTAGCTCTTGTAAATTCTTCAGGTATACATTTTGATGAAAGAAAATGAAAAATATCATTGTGATTTTGGAAAATGATTTTAATGGAAATGCAACACAGCCTAACCAGTGCCATTCCAAACCCATGTTGAACTCAATTTCCCACGTGTAACCAAAGCAGAAACTTTACCGTCCACAGGAGCCCGATTCTCTACATGATCCATACATGAAGGAACTTGTCCCTGGGATAATCCCCCATTTCTGCTTTACCTCTAGTAAAGCAAAAGGAGTTATTGGAGATAAGTTTGGACCTGAGAATGGATCTATGGGACAGCAAGCATATCTATCAGAGGTAGAACTGAGTGCAACAGTGTAAGAGTCGAAGCCAGAGATAAGGATGGACCTGAGAGGATGAGAGAATGAGTTTTTGGGAGACTTAATGTGTCAGCAAGGGGCAGTGGGGGAATGACTTGTGAGGAGCTGGTGAGCTTTATTTTAAGATTTAAGGTTAATTCTGTTAATTGAATAACTGGCCTAATAAGTAGAGGCATAGCCAGGAACATAGAATAGTACAGCACAGTACAGGCCCTTCAGTCCATGATGTTGTGCCGAACTTTTACCCTAAACCTAAGGTCTATCTAACCTCCACCCCTACCTTATACCATGATCCATACGCCTATCTAATAGCCACTTAAATGCCCCTAATGAGGCTGACTCTACTACCCTCTCCAGCAATGCATTCCATGCCCCTACCACTCTCTGAGTAAAGAACCTACCTCTGACATCTCCCCTATATCTACCTCCACTCACTTTAAAACTATGCCCCCTCATAATAGCTACCTCCACCCTAGGAAAAAGTCTCTGGTTGTCCACTCTATCTATACCTCTGATCATTTTGTACACCTCTATCAAGTCACCTCTCATCCTTTGTCGTTATAAAGAGAAAAGCCCTAGCTCTCTTAACCTTTCCTCATAAGAACTTCCCTCCATTCCAGGCAACATCCTGGTAAAAACACATTCTAAAACACATTCTTTTACATGTGGGAATTCTACTTCCCATGTTCTGAACATAGCCGTGATGTGGAGGCGTCAGTATCGGACTGGGGTGGACAAAGTCAGGAGTCACACGACACCAGGTTATAGTCCAACAGGTTTATTTGAAATTGCAACCTTTCATAGCGCTGCCCCTTCTCAGTTAACAAAGGAGCAGAGCTCTGAAAGCTTGTGATTTCAAATAAACCTGTTAAACTATAACCTGGTGCCTGTGACTTTTGACCATGTTGTAGAATGGATTGAGAGCTGTGGAGGAGCTTGAACAATGTTGAGAGCTATGTGCCTGCTTCCTAGGGCTGGTGAGCCCACAGCTTGAGAGAATCCAGGCACAGGTCGCTGGGCAGGTACAGAAGTCTCGCTCTCTGACTAGAATTCAGTTCCAAATACTTAATTAAAAGGTAGTTACAAGAAAGTAGTATACAAGAGATTTTGAATAAACCTGTTAATTTAACTTACCATCTTTATTGATCACTTTTCTGATGGGGGAAGACAGGGTTTTGTGTGAAACAAGGCAGGTATATTGAAGACCACGTAGCCACTGAAGTGTTGGCACCGTCAGCTCACTGATGATGGTGTAACTGTCTTCTGATTCCATCAGTATCCCGGAGTTGGAAATCCCTGAGGAGAGCTGGGTGCTGCCAATGTACCAAGACACAGAGACAGTATCTGGGTAGAAATCACTCACCACACAGACCAGTTTGCAGTCATCCTGCAGGGAAATTTCCTCAGGTGATGGCTGAAGGAGTAGAACGGAAGGTGGTCTCGGTGAGATGGCTGGGTTCAGAAAGTAAAGAACAGTTGGTTCAATTTCCTTTCGAGTGAATTTACAGGGTTATAGCCAATCCTTCACCGTGTTTTGCTGCCACACTTTAACACCTCCTCAACATGAAGTCTAAGTTTGCACTTGTCCGATAACCCGAGTCGCTTTCTAAACTTGTTCTTTTTTCCAATTATTTGTAATGGACTTGTTCAGAGGTGTAATGGCACAAGTTGGATTTAGAATGCCGGCCTCCTGGTCTAGAGGTGAGGACATTGTCACTTCGCCTCACCAGTCCTACAGCTTTTTGCTGTATGTTTGCAGAGGTTGGTGCTGTTAACAACATGACCCACCCCGGTCACTGCTGGTTAACATGAGGCAGGCGGCGCTCCGCTCTCGGCAATTAACACAGCAGCAGGTTTCGGCCTCGGCGCTAGGTAAATTCACAGACGGGTATAGAGCCGACTCTGCAGCCACTGACAGAAGCAGAGGGGCAGTGGGCGGCTGAGACCCCCATTGCCAACCCTGCTCCCTGTCTGATGGTTATTCCTGAGGAGGGGGAGGGGGTGAAGAAACAGCTTGTTGGAGTGAGAGAGATAGTCGGAACTGCAGATGCTGGAGAATCCGAGACAACAAGGTGCAGAGCTGGATGAACACAGCAGGCCAAGCAGCATGATGCTTGGCCGTTTGGGGGAGAGCGCCTGTTACATTCCCACCTGCCCAGAGGTTCCTGAATCTCTCCTGGGCTCGAACAATAACCCTGCTTTCTCTCTGCACTGGTACTACTGAGCTTTTCCAGCTTTCTCTGTCTGTGTTACTGATCTGAGGGTGGCACCGACCTGGTTTCACGTTGAGGGTCACTGCACAGCCACACCAGTCTTTCGCGTTCACCACAACGTCCGCACTTTGACAGTAAAACCTCATGGAGTCCCCCCGTTTCACCTGCTCGACGGTTAAACTGAATTCACTGTCATTGGCGCCGGAGAAACGGGGCTCAAACGCTGCCAGCCGGGTGAAGTTATTCGATCCCGGGCTCAGGGACATGATCCATTTGATGGTGGAGTTGCCCGCTGGCACATAGCCCCAGGTTAGCAAGCGGTCATCCTGCTGCTGGTTGTTTCTACAGCCCAGTCTCACTGTCTCACCCTCCCGGGCATCCTGTACTGCCTGCAAAATGATCAGGTTGGAGTTGGAAAGGACTCCATCTGAACACACACACACACACACAGAGAGAGAGAGAGAGAGAGTCAGGGAAACTTGCAAAGTGCTGAGGACACAGAGAGCTCAGAAACATAGAAATCTTGTGGCTTCTCTTTCTGATTTACACCATCCGCAGCTCTTTCGGTTTTTAGGGAGGGACCTTAGCTCCTTACCCATCTGCAAGGCCATCAGCAGCAAAGTCCAACACAGCCCCTCCATTCTCAGCTCCCTTTACCCGGCTCTGATGTGCTCGGAAGCTCAACTGACTGTGTCACTGAGAGCAAGGGACATTTCAGCTCCTTCCTCATTTCTCAGAGCGCAGCAAAGAAGGGACAGGGCGTGAAGGGCTTGTTCCATATTTAACTCTTCAATTCAACTCAAACACAACTGTCAGCCCTTCCCTGCACTGTAAACCAAAAATGTTGGAAATCGCAGCATCCATAAAGAGAGAGAGAGAGCAAGTCACTCGAAACATCAGCTTGCTCTCTCTCCATGGATGCTGCCTGACCCGTTGTGATCTCCAGCATTTGTTGTTTTCCATACAGCTTCCAGCATCTGCAGTAATTTGCTCCTACATTGTGTTATCTCCTCCCCTTGAAGCCAGTCCCAGTGCACCTTCCAAACAAGAGACTTCAGAGCAAGCGCTGCACTCTTGCTAAGTTCAAGAAAGCTCTGACAAGTCCGTCTGCAAAAACAAAATTGCCTGCCCTTTTAACAGCCCACCGTGTTCCCTGGCCAACATCTCTGTCTCAGGCTTGCTGCAGTGTTCCAGCGAAGCACAGCACAAGCTGGAAGAACAGCATCTCAATTTCTGCTTGGGGACCCTGCAACCTTCTGGACTCAATATCGAGTTTTCAGGCTTGAGCTCTCCCATGTCCTTTTCCCAACCCCCACAAACCAGCCCTCGTCCTCACGTACCACCCCACCAACCTCCGGATCCAATGCATCATCCTCCGACACTTCCGCCATCTGCAATCCGACCACTAAAGACATCTTTCCCTCCCCACCTTTATCTGCTTTCCGGAGGGACAACTCTCTCCGTGACTCCCTTGTCCGCTCCACACTCCCCTCCAGCTCCACCACACCCGGCACTTTTCCCTGCAACCGCAGGAAGTGCTACACCTGCCCCCATACCTCCTCCCTCACCCCCATCCCAGGCCCCAAGAAGACTTTCCACATCAAGCAGATGTTCACCTGCACATCTGCTAATGTGGTATACTGCATCCGCTGTACCCGGTGTGGCCTCCTCTACATCAGGGAAACCAAGCGGAGGCTCGGGGACCGCTTTGCAGAACACCTACGCTCGGTTCGCAATAAACAACTGCACCTCCCAGTCGCGAACCATTTCAACTCCCCCTCCCATTCCTCAGACGACATGTCCATCCTGGGCCTCCTGCAGTGCCACAACGATGCCACCTGAAGGTTGCAGGAACAGCAACTCATATTCCACTTGGGAACCCTGCAGCCCAATGGTATCAATGTGGATTTCACAAGTTTCAAAATCTCCCCTCCCCCCACCGCATCCCAAAACCAGTCCAGCTCGTCCCCGCCTCCCTAACCTGTTCTTCCTCCCACCTATCCCCTCCTCCCACCTCAAGCCGCACCTCCATCTCCTACCGACCAACCTCATCCCGCCCCCTTGACCTGTCCGTCCTCCCTGGACTGACCTATCCCCTTCCTAACTCCCTACCTACACTTACCTTTACTGGCTCCATCCCCGCCTCTTCGACCTGTTTGTTTCCTCTCCACCTATCCTCTCCTCTATCCCTCTTCTATCCACCTCCCACTCTCTCCCTATTTATTTCGGAACCCCCTTCCCCTCCCCCTTTTCTGATGAAGGGTCTAGGCCTGAAATGTCAGCCTCTCTGCTCCTATGATGCTGCTTGGCCTGCTGTGTTCATCCAGCCCTGCACCTTGTTATCACACGTCTGCTATTACACACAACCCATTGTTAGCCACTAACACTCCCCATTAATAGCCACCACCAGACACATTCTCATTCGAGTCATTTATATAAATGACAAACCACAGACACATATTCCCCTCCCCTCCCTTGTCCACCTTCCACAGGGACCATTCCCTCCAGGACACCCTGGTCCACACTCCCTTCAGCCCCAACACCTCCCCACAGCCCTACAGCACCTTCCCCTGTCACCGGCGAAGGTACAACACCTGCCCATTTACCTCCTCCCTCCTAGGTATCCAAGGGCCCAAACATACTTTCCAGGTGAAGCAACACTTCACCTGCACTTCCCAGAATCTAGTCTACTGCATTCGCTGCTCACAATGTGGTCTCCTCTACATTGGGGAAACGAAGCATAGACTTGGCGACTGCTTCGCAGAACATCTACGTTCTGCTCGCAAAAAAGACCCTGAACTACCTGTTGCCTGCCACTTCAATGCACCACCCTGCTCCCTGGCCAACATCTCTGTCTCTGGCTTGCTACAGTGTTCCAGCGAAGCCCAACACAAGCTGGATTAACAACACCTCATTTTCTGCTTGGGGACCCTACAGCCCTCCGCACTCAATATTGAGTTCAATAATTTTAGGGCCTAAACTCTCCCCTGTCCCAGCCCCCCACCCCACACACCAGGCCTAGTTACCACATAGCCTGCCACTACACACCCCCTGTTGTTAGTCACTAACAGTCCCCATTAACAACTATTCACCCTCCCAGCCTGATCGTTAGCAAATCCTTGGTCTGTCCAACTGTCTTTCTCTCTCTTTGGGCTCTATCCTATCGCTTACTCCCTACCCCACCCACCTCCCTATTTTCTGCATATAAACTGACGTTTTCCCAGCCACCATCAGTTCTGAGGAAGGGTCACCGGACCCGAAACGTTAACTCTGTTTTCTCCTTCACAGTCGCTGCCAGACCTGCTGAGCTTTTCCAGCAACTTTGTTTTTGTCCCCATTAATAGCTATTCACCCACCCTGCCTGATCGTTATCCACTCCTTTGTCTATCCCCACTTATTGTTTACTCCCTCACCCTATCTTCTGCATAAAAACCAATAATTGAGTTCTCTTCACAGATGCTGCCAGACCTGCTGAACTTTTCCAGCAACTTCTGTTTTTGTTTGTAAGCTCTGACAGGTTGGTTTCACAGAAGCGCTTGGGAGACACCGCAATGGTTATTGAGTCAGTGAGGCAGTAGGGAGGTGGTGATTTTTCTCCAGATGTGTGTAGAAGTTAATCCTGCAGCTGTAGATGGAGAAGAAGCTTAGAGATCAGGAATGGGAGAGGGACCTTATTATGGATAAAGAAGGATGATGTGCCACATTGGTATTGGGTTCACTTTGGTTTGTCAATTATATAAACAACTCGAACAAGAATATAGGAGGCATAGAATCAGCATGGACACAGGCCATTTACAGTCATAGAGCTGTACAGCATGGAAACAGACCCTTTGGTCCAACTCGTCCATACCGACCAGATATCCTACATGAATCTAGTCCCATTTACCAGCAATTGACCCATATCCCTCTAAACCTTTCCTATTCATATACCCATCCAGATGCCTTTTAAATGTTGTAATTGTACCAGCCTCCACCACTTCCTCTGGCAGCTCATTCCATACACACACCACCCTCTGTGTGAAGTTAACCCCTCAGGTCCTTTTTAAATCTTTCCCCTCTCAACTTAAACCAATCCCCTCTAGTTTTGGACTCCCCTACCCTGGGGAAAAAACCTTGACTATTCACCCTATCCATGCCTCTCAATATTTTATAAACTTCTATAAGGTAACCCCTCAGCATCTGCCGCTCCAGGGAAAATAGCCCCAGTCTATTCAGCCTCTCCCTATAGCTCAAACCCTCCAACCCTGGCAACATCCTTGTAAACCTTCTCTGAACTGTTTCAAGTTTCACAACATTCTTCATATAGCAGGGAGACCAGAATTGCATGCAATATTCCAAAAGTGTCCTAACCAATGTCCTGTACAGCCACAATGTAACCTCCCAACTCCTATACTCAGTGCACCGACCAATAAAGGCAATCATACCAAACACCTTCTTCACCATCTTGTCTACATAGGATTCCACTTTCAAGAAACTATGAACCTGCACTCCAAGGTCTCTTTGTTTAGCAACACTCTCCAGGACCTTACCATTAAGCATATACATTCTGCCCTGATTTGCCTTTCCAAAACATAGCATCTCACATTTATCTAAATTAAATTCCATCTGCCGCACCTCAGCCCATTGGACCATCTGATCAAGGTCCCATTGTACTCTGAGGTAACCTTCTTCACTGTCCACTACATCACCAATTTTGCTGTCTTCTGCAAACTTACTAACCATACCTCCTATCTTCACACCCCAATAGTTTATATAAATGACGAAAACCCTTAAGATGTACATATTTGATACACTCTAACCACCTGTCCTAATATTACCTCATGTGGCTGGATGTCAACATTTATTTTCTAATGCTATTGTGAAACATATTGAGGTGTTTTTATTATGTTATAGATACTATACATATTTAAATGTTCTTTTGCTAGATTGCACTCAATCTAATTAAAAATCGACTTGTACAAAATTGCATGCTTGCAGTAAGGAAACAAACATAGGTTTTGTTAAAACAGTTGTGATCATTCAATAATTCAAATAATTAAGGTATCAGTTTGATATCTGTTTGGCCAATTTCTCACAGTTTCTATAATACTTAATGAATTTATTTCTGATGCATACCTAATAAATGAATCCATACACTTCTAAAAGCAATGGAATAATATGGACTACATAAAACAGAAAACTGTACAACGATTGCAAAACATTTCCAGAATCTGACACGTGTTCTATAAGTAGCTTAATACTGTGAGTTACAATTTCTGGTAATTCATCTATCACTTGTGGTTAGTGAGATGTTTTTCTAGTTCGGATAAACATTCCTGAATTTAAAAAGAAGAATATTTGACTGCAGTATCCAATTGCTTCTTAGATTGTTCCAAAACTCTCTCAGGAACTCAGTGTTTTACTGATGACTCCAAGTGTGGAACTTCTCAGACTAAGTCCTATGGCAGAATCTTCCTGAATGATGTGGGCAATTGTCCCATGTACCCTACAGAAACTAAACCGCAGCAGTTACTGAGCAGGAAGTCTGAGCTGTTAGCTGGTGACTGCTAGCTCCTTGACTCCTCAGGCCTGCTGAGCCCGGGCAATGGGGGCTGGCATTGGGCATTTGGCAGCCTCAATGCAGAATCGTGGCACATCTCTGACCCACTTACTATATGGCTGTGCACTTCAGTGCTGCATTTTGGAGCACTCTAGCATCTTTGGGGCCAGGCCACTGTGGGTGGGGAGGGGTGGGTGGGGCAGGCACTCACCTCATGGATTAAACTAGGGAGCATCTCAGGTCTCATCCCCTGCTCTGTTAGTGCTCCATCACTTTGTGCCTTCTATGATGCTCACAGTGTCTCTGCCTTGCCTTGCCAGTATACATTCTGTCCCCACAGTCAGAGCTTGAAGGCTAATGCCTTACCTTTATGAGCACACACAAAATCAGGCAGTTCACATTCTAGCCATGTTGCTGTTCTGTCAATCTCACACCCACAGATGATCATATTCTGAAGCTTGAAGGGGGTGGTCCTTATTTAGCCCCCTGTCAGTGTTTTCCAGCACAGGGGCAGTGTCCAATATCAGACCAGGGGCATGGCCATGGTCAGACACCCAATAGTATGGTCAGTGTTAGTGGGTCCATTATCACTACTGTCAGGGAAATGGGGCACAGTTAGTCCAGAAAGGCCAGTACAACCAGTCTGTGGAAAAACGGAGATCAGTCAGGGATCTTCACGGAGATCAGTCAGGGATCTTCATGGAGATCAGTCAGGGATCTTCACGGAGATCAGTCAGGGATCTTCATGGAAATCAGTCAGAGATCTTCATGGAGATCAGTCAGAGATCTTCACGGAGATCAGTCAGGGGCCTGTTCACCCATTAATTGGAGCTGTCTGCCTGAGTCAGTCGGGGTTGGGTCACTGTGAGTCATGCCCATCCCGGGGATTGAATGCAGCATGCTGGGGCGCAGAGGGGAGCAGGCAATGTGAGGATGTGATGGAGACTGTAGACCCAGGAGGGCAATGGCGGTCTTCTGAGGAGAAGGAAGGAGGACATTGAGCAGGAGGGACAGCACCTTTAGCAGGACAGGGTGATGCAACATTGCAGGCAATGATCCAGCAATGGGCTGTACTGCCAGTCTATGTTAGCTGGGTGCAGTCATTACTTACTGACTGGAAGTTGTTGTTGCTTGAAAGGCAGACAGACCCTGTCTGTGTGGAGGCCTGTGTTGGTTTTGTTTTTCTTTCCTTTTGCTGTCGCTGAGCATTTTTAACCATTTGAAGGCTTTCCATTGAACAGTGAGAAGATGTGATATGAGACTGACATTTGGGAAGGAGTGCATTGGGTTGGCAGCTGCGCTGACATCAAGGACGGGGAACCTGTGTAGCGATGCGTTGTTGAATGTGCCCTCAGCAAAGTTCCTTTTCTGTTGCCTTCCCAGTGTGTGCCTCGTGTTTGGTTGATCCTGGGTGGCAGCGGCTTGGCTTGGAACACAACTGGGTTCCATAACTGGATCCAATGCAGGAAATTGCAGAAGGCGATACTTCCAGCATTGGTGAGCTGGCAGTGCCACAGGATGGGTACCGTGGAGAGGTGGTACAGACACAGTGCCAAAGGTTTGATGAAGTCAAGTGAGGAAACTCGCAACGGTTGGAGGGAAAGATCCCTGAAATTGACCCTCGAGCCGATTTCTGGTTCCTAGTTTCGTTTTTAGTGAGCCTTTCGTTTCCCGAATATTTAAAATAAAACAAAAGTGCTGGTGAAACTCAGCAAGTTTGTCAGTGCTTTATTTAGCTTTGTTTCCTGAATGACATCTCAGGGGGAAGGGAGGGGGCTCCTTGCTAAAGCCGAGAAGCTCACATTTGGTCAGATTACACTGACCGATAGCAAACACAGCGTGACCGCAAGAACTTTGCTCTTTCTCAGTGAGAAGTTTGGAGAATAGCAGCCCCTTCATAACCACCTCCCTTTAAGTGCTCATCAACCAAAGAGGAATTACAAAATCCATTCTTCACCGTGGAACAGCACTCAATTGTGAATCGTGAAAACTCTTGAGCAGAGAAACCGAGCCGAAAATGTTCTGCATCTTTGTTCTGATAGCCCTGCAGTTGGGTAAGGAGCTAATTCCTTGGTGTGGGTTTATCTTCATTCACACTGCCTCTGTTGCGGTTCACTTGGTGATTTTCTGTCTCTTCCATTTCAGATCCAGTTGCACCCCACACTGCTCTGTCGATGCCTTCGGCTACTGTCCTCAGGCAGGAGGAAGGATCAGTGACATTCGAGTGTTTAAGTTCTAATGAGAAACTCCTTATGAAGTGGGGATACGTGACTCCCGGCTCTTCAGAAACCAAGTGGCTCATGTACTGGAACCCGGGAGAAAAAAAGGCGATTCGAATGCCAGGGATCGAGCCTCGTTTCTCTCAATCCAAAAGCAGCAAATATGGTCTAAAAATCGATGCTTTGAGACTGGAGGACTCCGCCACATATTACTGTCAGAGTGGGGAGGAAGGAAATGATTGGTGTGCCTGTGGAACCACACTGAAGGTGAAAGCAAGTAAGTGAAGGAGAATATTGAAGCAGATCAGAACATTTACTCTGGTTGTGAAGTGGAAAAAAAAGTGTGTAACTTTCTCCCAAAATAACTAGGAGGAATGGTATAAAGATTGTTAGTGGTGGATCCATTTATAAACATTTTATTTACAGGTAGTAATTGAAATTAAAGTGGTTAATATTGGTCACCACCTCAGTCTCAGATATTTCACCCTTACTGTGGTAGCTGAGGTCTTCCCAACATGTTGGATGCTATTTATAGATATTTTCCAAATCAACCTGGTCAGAGATGTTATTATACACTGCTGGAGCAGGTGGGACATGAACCCAGGCCTCCAGGTCCAGAGTTAGGGACATTACCACTGCACCACAAGAGCCCTTGGGGGGCAGTTTATATGGAACAAGGTGAATAACACAAACCTGGTGCTGATAGAGCTTGAAAAAGCCAGTTTGGTTAAACTGACGTGGATTGAGCCAGATAGCCATAGAGTCATACAGCACAGAAACAGACCCTTCGGTCCAACCAGTCCATGCTGACCATAATCCCAAACTAAACTAGTCCCACCTACCTGCTCTTGGCCCATGTCCATCCAAACCTTTCCTATCCATGTACTTATCCAAATGTCTTTTAAACATTATAACTGTACCCACATCCACCACTTCCTCAGGAGGTTCATTCCACATGCGAACCACTCTCTGTGTAAAAAAAATTGCCCCTCGTGTCTTTTTAAAAGATCTCTCCTCTCACCTTGAAAATGTGCCCCCCCCCCGTGTCTTG